TATATATATACACACATAATATATACAAACACCAGGCGCAGCAGGACCTGGGTCTCGCAGGAGGTCAAGACGACACCGTTTGTGTCCCTAAGAGCCTGTGAAGCCCAAGTGCTTCATCCTCTCCCTCCCACCATATATTTAAGGGTCCTGCTTGAGGATTTGGCCCCTTCCTCCGGTCTGGACAGGGGTTGTTCCTTGGTTAAAAAGTTCCTTTGGACTTTGCCATGGTTCTGCCCTGCGTCAACTTTCCTTGTGCATCGAGAGGTTGCAGAGCTCCGGAGCTTCTCCCGCGTCCTGAGCTGCGACTCGGAGCTCCCGGCACCGCTCTGGTGTCCTCCCCGTGCTGCGTGGTCCGGACTGCGCTCGGAAGGACAGGAGGAGCCAGAATCCCTCTGGACTTTTCCATGAGTTTTAGCATTTGCATTGAAGACACTGAGAACCCCAAATCCCACATCTACCCGACGTTCTGCTTTTCTGGTCTCGTCTTTAGCACCACTGAGATGGTGCTTTCAGTCCCGGGACTGCTTTAGCAGTTTGCTCGGATCCCTGCCCTTCCTGGGGGAGCGCGGTCGCTCCGATCGGCGGCTCCGGCTGTGCCGGCTCTCCTGGGAACGGGCTCTTGGTGCTGGAGGCTGCGAGGAGCTCCGTGCATGGCTGCACCGGGATGGATCTGCGTTTGGGGAGGGGGATTGAGCAGCTGGAGGGGTCTCCATCCTTCCCCCAGCACAGCCCTGCTCCCTGCGGGTTTTCAGTTTCCATCGAATCCAGCCCCCCCTGGGCTGGGGTTTCGGGATTTTTTGGGATTGAGCACCGGGATGATGAGCACTGGGAAGCAGGAGGATGCAGGGGGTCCCCTTACCTTCACCCCGAGCGAGCTAACACCCGCAGCCTTTCTCTCCGCAGTATTTAAACATGTTACGGACGTGCGAGGGTTACAACGAGATCATCTTTCCCCACTGCTCCTGCGACTCTCGGCGGAAGGGACATGTCATCACAGCCATCAGCATCAAGCACTTTAAACTCCACGCCTGCACCGAGGAGGGGCAGCTGGAGGTAAGGGGGGTTCTGCGGGGTCCCGGGGGCTCCCCCTCACCAGAGCGCCAGCGCCGTGTCCCGAAGCTCAGGATCGCTGCGGACCGGCCTCCGAAGGGATTTTGGGCAGGGGTGGGGAGCACAGGGTTTATCTGGCTGCTCTGGGGGTGTTTTCACGGCTCACTCCCGGCTCTGCAGCGAGGCTGGCCGAGGCGTCCTCGTTCCCCCTTCACGTGTCTTCCCTTCTGCGTCTGATCTGCTTCAAACCTTCCTCTTCCTCACCGGGCTCTGCCCTCACCCGCGTTTCGTTTTCCTTCAGAACCAGGTAATAGCGTTCGAATGGGACGAAATGCAGCGGTGGGACACGGACGAGGAGGGAATGGCGTTCTGCTTCGAATACGCGCGGGGAGAGAAGAAACCCCGATGGGTTAAAATCTTCACCCCCTATGTGAGTACCCCTGTTCTTAGGAAAAACCCAGAACCTGCTCCTTTTCCTCCCTAGAAGCTGGAGGAGCACCCAGTGCTCCAGCTTTTGGGACCGGTGGCCACCAGAAGGAGCCGGTGGCCACCAGGAGGA